AATGGCGGGCTATCTTCTGGAAACAGTTACTCTAAAAACTTTAGAAGTTAGCATCCAAGCAACTGAACAGTTGCTCAGTGCTTCTGTGGCAAAGACAATGAATGCTCTTTGTTGTAATCAGGAGCAGTGAGTAGGGGGAGGGAAGTAAGGTTACCTTGTTATACAGCGCTGGTAAAACTGATTTGGAAGCAGTGAGTCTTGTTCTGGTGTCTGGATTTTCAAAACATATTGAAAAAAATTGAAGTCAGGCAAGCTCATTATTTTAACAGTAAAGATGGTTAGCCTTTAGATTTCCCATTTTTTGACATCTTTTAATCACGATGGAAGTCATGCCCCAGACAGATGCAAAGTATGTGTTAATCAACTGTTATAGTTATTTTGTGGTACATAAAAATAGGTGGTCGAAAACTTAATGACCTATATTATGAATGCAGTCAAACTAACTGGGCTAATATTCCTTTTTACCTTAAATCTTGATTTACATTTTTGAGAATGAAAAAATAATTCAGCAACCTTTTCCTGACACCTCTGTAGCTCTCACCGTTCCTGAAATGCCCTTTTCAGTTGTGGAAAGAATATAAAGGCAAGTTCCACACCCTGCCCTACTGTAATTGAGAAATTTTATGCTGAAGGTCTTATAGAGATCTTTTTCTTTTCTTCCATCACACAAGGTGAGATTGGACTCACAGATACCAAATTTATATGGTCTTACCATTGTCTAAAACAGCTGCCTTTGTATATGTACATTAAAAGTTTTAGCTAGATTAATCTGTGCATTATTGTATTATAAAAGTGGTCTGTTAAACACCTCAAAAATAAAAGCAAAAGAAAGACAAGCTTTGCTACACTTTCTTCTGTAATTCTCAGTTGTGACCCCTGAGTATCGTAATAGAGACATTACACATACGTTGCACAGAAGATGTTTTACTGGTAGTGTTGCAGTGATACTGTTTTATTTTCATCTAATTTGTGGATATAGATCTTATACCACCATATAGGAAGAGAGGTATATTTTAAACTAAATCTGTACTTAATTTCAAGCCTGAAAATTGATTGCTGATCTGCCAGTAGAGTTTATTTTGCATCCAACATATCAGATTTCAAATGGTATAACAACATGATGTAGATTTTATGTCAACTTAATGGAGAAGTAACTATTTCCGTGCATGTTAAAATCTGTGCTGTAAGTACTGCAAGACTTACTGTAATGATAACTTAAAGAAACAAAAAATAATTGTTGAAACCATCAGTAATAGTTCTTGTTTTGTAGAACTAATGCTTCTGCACATATGAAAAATATTTTATTTTGGTTTTACTTTAAAAACAGTTCAAGTATTGTGTGCATTTTCGAAGCTGAAAAAATAGAATGCATATATATATTCTATACAGTTCTATTTTTTATTTAATATAAGAGAATTAAAAGTTGTTTATTTTTTAAAACCTGGTCCATATTAAATGTCATATGCTAACCATTATATGTGTAAGATAAGTGAACTATGAATTACTTCACTGTAGGAGAAGCACTCCTCAAAAGAAGAGACACTGCTTGTCAGGTTAGCAATATACTTCTTACGTTTATGTAAAATAATAAAAAGACAAGTTTTCTCTTTAAACACCTGTTGCAAAATTTTTAGAATACAAAGCAAAGTAAATCTCAAAGTCTAAGCTATATGAAAAGACCACAAACTTCATAAAAGGACGGTTGTTGGTTCTTTAGAGCTACAGAATCTTCTGTGTAGTTTTGGAATCATATCTTATGGATTTTTTAAAAAACTGTTTAGACTTTGATATGTGTGAGTAAACTGATTTCTCTGGGGAAACGTTTGAGAAATTGCTACAATATTTTATTCCTTAGGACATATTTTACAAAAAGAGATCAACATATGTTCTTAAAGCTAGACATGTTTCATTTTCTTCTGAAGTCAGGATGATAACAATGATTAAAAAAAGATTACATTAAAAAATCATAGGAATCTTCCTTTAGGACACTATATGTTACAGATGTTAAAAAGTTACCTTTATATTTAACCAGTTTTCTGTGGGGAAATTCTGTGAATATGTGCTGTTACAAGAAACATAAGTAAAAAGAAGCACCATCCACTTTATTGATTAGCAGAAGTGTTTTGTCCGACGTAAGTTACTGATCTGAAACTTTAACAAGTGTTTTTCTCACACTCCTTTTGAATGTATTTTCTCACTTGTGATTTTTCTACTACATTTGTGGGATTTGTTAAAGGATGTTAGAGCATGTTAAAGACATTTTTACTATATTTGTCTTGCTGTTGCTCTTTATATTTAAGAAATACACTGCAAAAGTTCTGGTTTTGTTGGATCTACTTGTTTTATGTTAGCAAACACTACTCAGTTTTTCAATATTCTGTATTTCAGTATGATGTGTACAGTTAAGCAAAATATTTTCCTCTGGAAAAAGTTGGCTCAAAGTCCCCTACAGTTTCAAAAGTGTCATTTGAATGAGATGGACTTGGGCAGCATAGTTCAGATCTGGATGGGAGCCAAAGCTTCCCTGGAATTCAGAGGCATGTGGGAGGTGGAGACTATAGTTTGATTTACTAGGTGCTCTAAATTTTAACTTCCACATTAGCAACAGTTGGCATTGCCTGTGCACTCCAGCTTCTGTTGCAGCTACATGGTAGCTTAGCCCTCCTAATTTCTGTGCAGCTGGGTTCATACCTGATTTGATTAATAGTAAATCTATATTATAGGTTCAAAAGAATCCATTGTTATCATATGGTTTAACTTTCTGCATACCACAGGGTGTATTCTTTGATCTTTTTCTTGCTTTTAGTCTAGTAGCTGTGACTGAAATAGAGCTTATCTTTTAGAAAAACATTCAATCTTGACTGAAAAATTTCCACTGCTGGAAAACTTATCATCACGCTAAGTAATTTCTTCCAAAGGATAATTAAACACACAATGGAAAACTTACACTTTACTATTCGTCTAAATTTTAGTACCTTTAACTTCAAATCATCAAACCTTTGTGCTAAACTGTAGAGCTCTCTGTGATCATGTTTCTCTTCCTCATAGACTTGTTTATTCACTATGAATAAATCATGCCTTAATTTAATTTTTAATAACTGAATAATGCTTCTCATGTCTGTCTTAATGCAACTGTTTTCCAGGCCTACAGTCATTTTTATTTCTCTTCTCTGAATCATCTCCATATTTTCACTTTCTTTCTAGAACTGTAAAAAGGAAAATTAGACACAGAATTTCAGTAGTAGTTGTACAAGTGCCTAAAAAGAGGTAACACCTATGTTCCTATTCAGTTCTTTCACTTATAAATCCCTAAATTCATCCATTTAATCAAATGTTACACTGTAATCTCAAATTCATATTCAACATCCCAAATCTTTTTATATTCTCTGGATTCCAGGATAGAACTCCTACATTGAGCCATATCCTGTTTTCATTATTTGTAAGTGTGTGACCTTAAATTTAGACATAAAAGAAACTGTATTGGGCAGATCAAAAGATAATGTATCCCAATAACCTGACTGCTACAGCAGAGGAGACATGATAATTTGAATGAAAGTTTTCTGTGGTTAAAGCTCATCTTTTGCACACCAGGTGTCTTGACGTCTGGTTTCCACAAATGTAGGACACTTACAGTAGTGTGAAACTGTTCATATTCTACCAAGGCAGAAGAAACTCAGGACCATGAATGAATGCCCAGGCCAAAGTAAGAACAGGACAGACACACAGCTTTCTGACACTCTCCAGGTCCCTACCTGTTTTTATCTCGGAGTTGAAAATTGAATCAGATATTTATGCTTTTACTGGCCTTCAATGAAATCTTTCAGCTTTCACAGAATCCTTTCACAACTAGTTCCACTAGTTTGTTGCCTCATTTGAAGAACCAACTTCCTTTATTTGTTTTGAACCTGAATCTTATTATACCTCATTGTTAAAAGAGGTTCTGTCTGTATTAAAAGAAACATTGGACAGTCAGTCCCTATCTATCCCACTCAATGCTATCCCTAACATTGTTGTCCTCTGTCATATCCCTTCAGGCATCCCTCTTCTAGACTGAAAAAACCTTGGATTCTCTTTGCTGCTCTTCTCTGAAACTTTTCCAGTGCTATAGTAACCTTCCTGAAACTGAGGCTGCAGAACTGCATGAAGTTTTTAAGGTGTATGTGATCCATGGATTTATATAGTGCCATTGTCTGTTCACTATTCTTTTCCAAATAAGTCCTAATATTCCATTTGTTTTTTATTGACATCTACCCTAACACCAAGGTATCATTTCTAATTTTTAGGTCAGCTAAAAACCTGCAATTTCATCTATGGAGTTAGGATTGTTTTTTCTGATGCGCATCACTTCTCATTTTCTTGTTTGCTATTTTATTGCCCTCTTAGTTTTACTAAGTTCTTTAGCAGTTTGTTACAACTGACGCTGAATCACAATATCAACAACAAACTTTGTCACATAACTAGTCCTTCCACTTTTCAGGGTATCTATGAGTGTTGAATTGCACAGCTTCAACACAGATCCATGGAAATCCACTAAATCACATCTTTTTATTGAACTGACTATTCGCTATTATCTCCAGTTTCCTATCCTTTAGTCATTCTTTTCACTCCAAATATAGTGGCTTAGTTTCTTTAAAAGGTATCAGGGAGGGACTTTGTCAAAATCTTTATGGAGTCCAATTAAACGTGTCAACTAGATCACCATTGCTGCAGGCTTGGTACGTTTTGTAAGGTAGGACTTCTCTTAACACATCCATGATGACTCCAAGTATATCATATTGCTGCAAGAATATCTTATGTGGACAGATGTCTGCTAATCCTGTTCTTTATTACAGTCTACCAGTTTGTCCAGCACAGATATTTGGCAAAAAGGCCTTAGATAACCCTGGAACTTAATAATAATCTAACATATTTCTTCTTTAGTAGTAGGTTTACTAGTAGAAGAGATTAAGTTTTATGTTAAATGCACTTTACACATTTGTTAATTATTTGCTTTATTTTAGGGAGGTAATCCAACAGCTACTGTAATCGCATTGTGTTCAATGAGAGATTATCTGACTCAAGAAGCTTGTCAGCTGGCCATCAGAGACCTTGGATGTCTTGAAGTGTTAATTAATTTACTTGATACGGAAGAAATTAAATGTCAGGTAAGTAGCTTTGTCAAATAGAGCAATGAATATGCCTTTCTATTACAATATTTTTTCAATTTTCAAAGTTATATAGGATAAAGAAAATAGATTTCTTTCTTTTCTAATTTCTGTATTTTTTGTATTTCAAGGATTTTTTGAAAAAAAAAACCAATTTCTTTGACTCAGTTTCCTTATTTTCTTCTGATTCAATTTAAAAGATACAATGTTTTAGATAACTCAGTATTTTAAATAATATTTATGTTTATGTATACTTTATGATGTTTAACTTCTATTATCTTCCATTATTTAGATTGGTTCTTTAAAAATCCTGAAGGAAATTAGTCAAAATACACTGATCAGACATGCAATTGCAGATCTTGAGGGCTTACAAATGATGGTGAACATACTGGACTCTCCAGATAAAGATTTAAAATGTTTGGCAGCTGAAACCATTGCTAACGTTGCTCGGTTTAAACAAGCACGCAGGACAGTACGGCAGCATGGAGGAATCAAGAAATTGGTAAGCAGACAGTAAGATTTGAACCCTTGTCATATGCATATTTTTGTCTAAAGAGTACATCATGTGTTGTATACATGGTTCTTGTGGTGCTGTTTACCATCATTAAAATGCAGTATAATAGCAATCTTCTCTGTAGATAATTTAAAAAATGCTTTTTTTAGGTTGGGCTGTTGGAATGTGTTTCAGTGGGATCAGCCAGTTTAACACTATACCAAGCAAAAGATGCTGAAATAGCACGCTGTGGAGCTTTGGCACTCTGGAGCTGCAGCAAAAGCACCAAAAATAAAGAAGCAATCCGTAAAGCTGGTGGCATTCCATTATTAGCTAGATGGCTCAAATGTTCACAAGCAAACATCTTGACTCCAGTAGTGGGAACGCTACAAGAATGTGCCTCAGAAGTAAGTAAGCACATATAGCCAAGTTATTTCTAATTATGAAAAAAAATGACTAGTAAAAGGAAGCTTGTCTAGAGCTACTAGACTAAAAGTTTGACTGTCACTTAAACCAGGGCAGTTATCCCATCAGGAAGTAGATGCTTTGTGTGGTCAAAGTGTTTTTGAGAACATCACAGCTTGTAACGAAGTAAAGGCCACACATTTTTTATTTAAAGGGCTAGGAATCATTTCTGAAACAAAATATATACAAATGAAATCCTTAGTCGGTTTCATGTTTTTCTCTTTTTTTTTCATCATACTTAACCAATTTGGCAACTTAAGATGCTATATTCTGGGTAATCAGTACATTTAAATTCTACAAAGCTGACCTGCAGGTGTGGCCAAGAAATACCAATGCAGTGCAGGGCAGTGGAGTTTACAATGTCCTTGTGAATTGGGTAAGACGGTGTCTGATTGATTGTAAAAAGAAGAAAGGGATATATGTGATTTTTCTACAGATTTCCTTGGCAGGTTTCACAGCTTTGAGTATATTCAGTTTTTAAATTTGCTTAGAAGTATTCTTTACCATTGCCATATAAGATGAGTTGTTATTTCTCCATTTGTGGAATCATATTTGAAGTTAAGATGCATTGTACTCAAGGTCAAAAATATACATAAGTTCCCTTGGTGAATCTGAGACATGGAAGACAGGATTTTTCAAAAGATTTTACATTATAAAAAACTTTGTATTTTCAAAATTATCTTCCTGAACTACACAGGTTTATGCATATTCCACAAGACAGCAACCTGGCAGATTTTAGCTTCAGTAAGTCTATATTGAGAAGGGGAAGTTTTTGAGGGTTTCTTATCTAGCCAAATTTGGAAATAACACTAAATGCATCTCTTACACAGATGTTTCCCTTCTGTTAAATGGTCCCCTGTTACAATGCCTGTGGGTTAAAATTTGGAAGAAAAGATCACTAAAAAAATTTCATTCTAAGAACATGTTTTTCTAACCTTATTCTAGGAATAGATCTGTTGTTTCAGCTGCTGGCTCTTGATGAAAGGAGTGGGTACTTCTTGATCCCATTCTGAAGCATCTTTCTGTTCCTTGGCTCTGAGCAGGGAGTCTGAACACCTTTAAGAATAGTCTGAATTCAGTTTAAGCCATGTGGCTGCAAAATAGGCATTGCAGCACCTGGTTTTACAGGTGATCTGAAGAGAACTGCAGAGAATTTATGTATTTGATTAACCTTGAGAGCATCAATAGTATTTTCAAGGCAATGCAGATGACTTGTGCTTAAAATAAAGGACAAGGCTTCTCAAAATCAAAGACTAGAATTGTTGCACTGTATTGTTATTGTGACTAGTGTTAGTAACTGTTAATATACAGGATCTAAAGGATGCAGTTTTATCTTTTTAGCCAAGTTACAGACTTGCAATAAGGACAGAAGGAATGATTGAGAACCTAGTGAAAAATCTGAGCAGTGAACATGAGGAACTTCAGATGCATAGTGCAAGTGCCATATTTAAGGTAATCGTATTATTATAATCAGTAGATCAGAGCCAGAATTAGTCCTTTGCTTTCATGTTGTTGTCAGTTTTAGTATTTTTTAGTTATATTATTTCTTTAATGTGTAAGAAATTACGTTATTAAAATATTGATGGTCTTTGGATAATTCCCATGGGGCTATTTTAGGTGCATATTTAATATTGTATTTAAGTTCTTACTTGATTTTCTTGTGTGCAAGCCTTAACGTGCCCAGGTAACCAACAGGGAGAGGCGGGGCACTATGCAAAGAACTGCTTTGGGTTTTTATGTTTGTTTGCCCACAAGGTGAACAATGTGGCAGTATAAGCACTGCTGCGGATACAGTAGCAGCTAACTGTCAGGCTTTTCAGTGAGTTTTTAGCATATTCAGATACTTTAACAAAATATTTATGTTTTCTTCTGTATTAATTTTTACTAGTTATAACATAATACACCTAGCTTTTAAAAACATAATTTTATGGATTTTGCATAATATATATTTTTTGTATAGTGTGCAGAAGATAAAGAAACACGTGACCTGGTTAGACAGTATGGAGGTCTACAACCACTATCTGTTCTGCTCGGTAACTCTGAAAACAAACAACTTTTAGCAGCTGTGACAGGAGCAATCTGGAAATGCGCCATCAGTGGAGAAAATGTGTCAAAGTAACTATTTAATTTTACACATATCTGTTACATTATTCTGTTTTGATTTTATGGACCTCTATAGTTTTCAAAGTTGTTATGTCATGATTCTTCAAAACCATATTTTATAATCAGTTAGACTCTCAACTTAGGTTTTATAGTACTGTAAAAATTGCCACCTAAATCATCAGAGCACAGTGAAAACAGTGTTAAGTTCCTAGAACCTTAAGAGTCAATGGGGACAATCAGTACCTCTAAAGAATCGTTACGATACAGGACACTGAGTCAGGAGGTGTACTAGCACATACTAAACATTTGACATGTGAGTATACCTGATAACCCAACTCCTCTCTGTAGCTTACAAACCAGAATCACTGCTGCATGGTAGAGAGAGTAGTTAGCACACTTAGCTTTAACCTTCTAAGTCGAGAGAGACAGAGAGCAAATTATGTCATTCTAGGGTACATATCTAATACGCATTAGGTCCACCTACTGAAATATACTTGAAATAATTAGCTAGATGCCTCTCATTGACTACAGAAAGGCCTCTGTTGCTCACCAGCCTGGGCTGCGGCACCAAAGACGCTGTTGCATCTTCTGCAGCCAGGAGGAAATGGCCTGCCTCTTGTAGGCAGGATCGGTACCTTGAGTTGATTAGTTAATTACTTCATTATATTCAACTCAGTCCAGCTGGCTAATAATGATCAGATGCCATAATTCCCCCCTTCTGTTTTACAATTTTTTGTTGTTTTCATGAAGGCTTTAAGGTGAGCAGAGACCCAATCCATTCATTCAACTCCAGCACGCTTCCCTCCCGCGAATACCACGTCGGGGCTTGCAGCTTTACCTTCTTCACCAAAGGACTCTCGCTTGGGCTCCCGGCTCTGGCTCTTTCAGCTCAGGCTCTCAGCTCCGGCGAGGGAGTCGGGGCTTCTTAGGGTCTCACAGATGTATCACACCTGGGTCACCAGTTGTTGCTCACCAGCCTGGGCTGCAGCACCAAGGACACTGGTGCATCTTCCACAGCCAGGAGGAAATGGCCTGCCTCTTGTAGGCAGGGTCTGTACCTTGAGTTGATTGGTTAATTAGTTCATTATATTCAACTCAGTCCAGCTGGCTAATAATGATCAGATGCCATAGGCCTCAGAAAAGTAGCTTTGTCTGAACACCCAGCTTCTAAATAAGTGGAGTTAACTGATAAGAGTCCTACCATAGGTACCTGTAGCCTCTCAATATCAGAGTCCTGCATGATTATCTGAGAATGTGACAGCAGGAGTTATCACCCTCCACATTTCATGGAACAGCTTAATGATTGAGAATATTCGACCTTCTCATCTGAAATTCATTTTTCTGATTCATGCACCTTACCTCAAATAAAGCCTGTTCCACTGGAGTATGTGCTAGGCTTCTTGCTGAAGTTATGCTGATCTGTACAAAGGAATGTAAGATTCATAGGCTGGAAGGAGTATCAGTAAGAGATAACCTCTTCCTGCAGCCCTAATTTTAATGTACTTTGCTGGACAAGCAGATATGATGGATAACTGCTGGATAGAAATCAGAAAGAATTCCAGTAATAAGGGTTTACAGTATGGCTTTTTGCTGTCCTAAATTAATTCCCAAACTGTTGATATACAGAGCTGTGGTCTTTACATAGTCTACTGCTGTCCTACTGCTTTTTCCATTCTAGGGTATCTGCACAGAGACATCCTTGGTTCTGGATCAGTCAGTGATGAGATAGACTGAACGGCTCGCTCTATACCAGTAAACTAAACAGAGCCTCAGGCACTATGTTATGATTATCCATGCTGTTTAACTGCTAGTGCAGTCCCTTACACAGTTTGGCCTGTGCCAGCAAGTGAGTGCTCTACCAGACAATGCCCAGACACTCCCTGGCAACAGGCAACAGATTGTTTCCATTAGGGAGAATGGGTGAGGCCACCCTGAGTTGTGAGGCTAAGAGATTTTAGCCATATGGATGCTATGTAGTGCTTCTTGTCCTCAGGGCTAGAGAATGAGCCATCGCCTGTTTTATTTATTAGTATAGCTGTAGCCAATAATTCTGTCCAAATGCAAACAGATTTTTGCTGGGCTACTCACATATCTTTGCCAAGTGCCTGATGCTCCTCAAAGGTTACTAGCCAAGCACAGCTCCAGACTTGAGCTGAACTCGTGTATGATGTAGTGCTGAGTTTGAAGCAGTAAACCTGTCCAAACTCATGATGGGAGGATACTACAGAGCGGGAAGGGAGGATACTCTGCAAACACATAACTAGATCTGGACGGATGAGCTTGAGTCTGCCTTGAAGCTAGAACTAACAAACACTGCTGGTCCCTGCAGGGCTACTTAATTATCCTCCAACTACACCACAGTGTTTTCTATACCTGAAGTACATTGTTGGGATGTGCTGACTCAGCAATGAACTGATCTCGGTGCCTGGGCCAGACTAGCTCAGATCTGTTTGCGTGCAAGCAGCCATACTGCTTCTGGACACAAGATGGCTCGAGCCAACAGCTCTGTCAGAGTGTAGCCTGCCCATGGCAGAGCCAGCTCATATCGTTCCATCAGTGAAGTACTTGATATGCAACACAGATAAAGTAGCTAGAGAAAATCAGGGGGGGTTAAAAATTCTTTGCTAGCTTTCTTGCTTTTCTTTTCATGCTGTTGAGGTTTTTTTTCTCTTGAAAAAGAATTATAGAGATACTTCCAAATTATAGTGAATAAAGAGGGGAAGATTGATCCTTAAGCAAAGGCTTGAATCAAGAAAATTGAAAGTTTCTCATTTCTCAGTTACTTTAATTGTTATACTCATAAACCAACTAGGAAAGATTAGCTTTTATTGAAACTGTTCTAGTTCTTCCATCAAAATCTCAAAAATACTTTTTTTTTTATATGAAAGAAAAGCCGTATGTACAACTGATTCCTGGAAAATACAGAGTATTTGCAGCTCAAATAGACATTTCCAGAAGCTAGGAGCCATGGGGGAAGCAAAAATGAGAACTCTGTACCCTCAGAGAACTTCGCTCTTTAAGGAAGGAATGATGTATATTTACACAAAGGTATAAATCAAAGCGTAATTATTATATAATATACTGGTTAGATCCAGCTTGATATACCAAGTGGAATTGTCAAGGCGTATCACAGAAAATGTATGAAAGGTAGAGACACTATTTGTTAAGCATTTTCTGAACAAAATGAACTTAGAAGACAACTCCAGTACAGAGGAGTAAAGCCCTGATCTGAAAGATGAACTTCTGAGGTTTAACATGCATCTGTTCGTAGGATGGTATCTCCAGGATTTTTAAAAACATCTTTTGATTTTCAGTACCAAAAGTGCTATGATTAATGAGGGAAGTATTAATATAGTAGTCAACTCAAATTTCTGTCAATTTATTACTTGATTTCAAAATGGAATTTATCATAGTACAATTGAAATGGACTAGAACTATAGGTCTGACCTTAGGAAAATGCATTTATTAGGCCTGAACTAAGTGTAGAACTGGTCAGAGCAAACTCTAAAGGCTAATATTTAGTGAAAAGTAAGGGTGATCCTTTGGTACAGAGAGGTGGAAGAGAGTCTCATACGCTACTACTCTAGCTATTGTTAGCATGGCAGGAAAAAGTACTGGAAGTTAGGATGCCACAGTACTTGCCAGTCTTCCAGTATGTTTTCAGCTGTTCATAGATGTTGCATTGGGATGTCAAGTTTTAAAAAACTCTCAAACTACTCTGCAGATTCCTAGATAGCCAAAAAGGTAGGTGAGAAATTATGCCATATGTCACACTTTCAAGAACTGATTGAAGTGGTTTACCTGTATTGTGATTTCTTCAACAAGATTCTTTACATACAGAAATTAAACATTGTACTTCAATCATAATTATCCTTTAATTATAAAATTAAACTTATAACAGTAACATACTGAAAATAACAACTCTGATTTTATTTCTATATTTTAGATTTCGGGAATATAAAGTCGTAGAAGCTTTGGTAGGACTGCTTACTGACCAGCCTGAAGAAGTTCTTGTAAATGTTGTCGGAGCACTGGGAGAATGTTGCCAAGAGCCAAGAAATCGATCTATTATCCGTAAATGTGGTGGAATACCACCTCTAGTGAAGTTACTTACTGGAACTGATCAGGCACTACTTGTGAATGTCACCAAAGCAGTAGGAGCTTGTGCAACAGAACCTGAAAATATGATGTAAGCTATTCATATTCATAGCATTTTAAAAATTGAAAAAAAAAATTGGCACAAACATAGTCAATTCTAATCTGACTTAAAAGGATATTTTACTTTTTGTTTTCCACAGGGCTGTGTGAGTTAGTTACATCCTGCTGTAAAATGTGCTATATATTAAAAAAAAAATCATTAAGGAAATATATAGAATGTAAAGCTTTTGCATTTTGGGGAAAATCAGACAAACCTTTAATAAATTGATTTTTATTAAAGTTAAAATTCTAAGTTACAGAACATCATTTTAAATGTACCTGTTTTGCCTTCTCCTTTTACATCTGTTCTCAAATCATAAATGACAGCCTAAATTAGAGAAAGTAATTCTAAAAAGAAATGTGCATATTTACTACCGTGAAAAATAATTTGAAAATTTGTGAAGTAGAGTATTATTTGTATTTTATCTGTTTTGTCCCTCTCCATCATTCCTTTATGAACTCAAGACTTTTTTTGGGCCCTTTTCTCTCCTCTTATGCCTTTGCAAAACCAAAGAGAAAGACTGTCTTTTTGTTGAGAGAGTTGCTGCTCTCTTTGGTTTTGTGATGCAGATTTGTACAGCTTACAAAGATCCTTGAGTTTTATGATTAAGTGTTCCGTTTAAATGTTGAGGTCGGATTTACTGTGCTGACTGTTCCCTTACAGGGATATTTACCTCAAGATTCTTAGCATATTTCCATCTTTATATGTAAGGAAGGTCAGAAAGAGAGTTTTATTAAGCTCCTCCTGTTCTTATTTGCATAATTGCACTTGATATTCATATAGCAGTGCAGAGAATTCTTTTCCTGAATAGGACTTTTGTTTTCATGCTTTGGCTGTCACCCAGTGGCAAAAGGCTAGATGGTACACAACTGTAAACATGGGTTGTATGAACAGTTAGCCATGTAGCATGAAAGTACAAATAAATGAAATCACTTTCACGGCTTATCTCACTAAAAATTAGCCTCTACAGTAATGTATTAGCCTAACAGAGTTAACATTGTACATCAAATGAGAATTTTAAATGCCAGTAAATATAAATTGATATTGATAAAAGCTCAGACATACTCCAGTACTCGGGACTGTCACTTGTACTATCCAGTATGGATAGCTTCATCCTGGGATGTGGTCAGTATAAGCACAAAAAATAACACAACTTGTTGCTAAAATTGTGGAAGAATGAAGTCCATTTTGTTTTTAAGAAGGAGAGAGTACAGGGTTTTTGGGACAAAAGAGTTTGCAAAGAGTGGACAAAGGAATCAAATGTTGAATTTGGTTCTTACGAAAAAATTCTCTATTGAAGGTTCTCAAGTTTTAAAAAGTTTTTAAAAATATTTTAAAACTTTAACAAGTAAGCAAGGTCTTAGATCAAAAGTAGAATATACTTTTTACTACTACAAAAGACCTGTTACACAGGAATTATTATTATTCGCAAGAGTGTGATGTGCACCTGATGTATTGTGCTAGTTAGACTTGTAGTACTAGAATAGATAATGCTTCTGTCATTTCCCAAGGCACGAGTCATCCAGGTGTGGATACATTTGATACCAGTCCAGCAAAATATTTAAAAACAATGCATAGTTAAAACGTGGACACCAGTGCAACTACTCACATGTTTAAATCATTTGCTTGATTGAGTGCTCTGCTTCTCACAGGGTTAAGAGTACTTAAGAGCACCACCCTCCAAAAAAAAAGGGACGTCCATTCCTCTCCCTTCTTCTCCTTTTTGACTAGTCTAATAGGAATTGAAATTTTAACCCCTCATCCAAACTGCTCTCCTCCTTTTTGGGAGGATGAAGACATGAAGGATACATAGTCTGTAGAATAACTTTGTTCCATATACAGAATTTGAGACTAAACCAGTAAGTAGCCTTGTTGGAAACTACTGTTGAGTTCATTCTCTTTCTGTAAACATTTTCTGAAGTTCTTAACCAAAAGGACCCATCTTAACAAGAATGTGAAGATGTGCCAAGATTGTCTTCTAGAAAGCAAAGCCACTTATAGCCTGTAAGTATATACAGGTGATGAGAACTTCCTACTGCAGGTTGATACTTAGCTGTTTCTGGTCTTCCTGGTTCAGCTTGCTGGATTGCTATTACAATTCTTATTTCATAATCCCTTATTCCTCAGAATGGCTTGACAGGTTCTAGGAGATCAGTTGTTCTCTACTATTAGCTTTTCTGCTGACAATTTTGGCTGCTAGGTCTTGAGGCTTGTTTTCTTTGTCATCTAGTACAGACAAGCACTGTTGAAAGAGTTACTTTTTTAGTCTGGCACTAGAGAAGCTTTGAAAACTGTGGTGATTTTCCTAGATTCTGCTATCGTTGACTTTCATATGTACTAGAAACCGAGAATAAAGCAGGAAAATTTAAAGTGAGTATCAAGCCTTCATAAGGATTGGGAATTTTTGGATACATTCTTACATTTCATTAGCTGCATGTGTGTTTACCGAAGTGTGGCTTAGAGACTAAATATTCTGTTGAGCAGTCTTCTATTTTGAATGTGGTTATACTTGCAGCAGTAGATATGTGGAAACTGTACAGATCAAGAGTGGACCTCATGTAGTTTCTGTGAATGATTCAAGGGTATGCAGTAAAGAGGATGGGATCAATATAAGAAATAAAATATAATTATGGATTATAAAAAAAACTGAGAGTGTTCTGTGAAGCAGTGCAGTTAACTTCTGAGGGAAATATTGTATGTTTATCTTATGATCCGTGGAGGAAGCTTACACTGAAAAAGAGAGACTAGTAGATAGGCATAGGTGAATCTACAGCTTCTGTGTCTTTTTAATATATTTTATCTCTGCTGTGTTTTGTAGTCGACACTTTAACTTCTACAACTACTGAGTGGAAGGTACAATAGTGTTACTTTTCTGCACCGAGCCTTTACTTTAAGGCAACTTCAAGCAATTAAGTGACTCTTGCTGACTCTCTTGAGCTATGTAACATAAAGAACAGCAGCCAGCATCTCTCACAGCAAAAAATAAGTTGACTTGTCTTAAAGAAAGCATAACTATGCGACCGAACTTAATATTATGTGGACAGCATAAAGCTGTTCTCCATACTCTGCTGCACAGCCATTGACAGAGATGCTGCTGCACATCTTTTATGTATATTTGTATTTTTTAGAAAATTTTAACAAGTTATTATTTTTCTCTTACTAAAAGCAGAGGACTAGTGCTTATTCTTTAACTGCCACTAGATTTTCATTTGCCCTTTTAATTTGAAAACCCATTGACTTCATCTCTCGCATTAAAAACTGAGGGTTTAGAATCTTATAAACTAAAATATACAATTATTTTAGCCAAACAGATGGAGTTTGAGTCATTGGTATATAATACTATTTACCAAAGCAGTCTGAAGCAGCTAGTGAAAGTTTTAAGAAACATGCTAAATTGTGGTTTCAAAAAAGATGAGATTACATTCTGTCAGAATTAAACTCTATAATCTTACCAGTGAGCACAACACAGAGTCAGTATAACTTTGTTTATTTACATTTGTATTTGTGGTCTAAATTGGCAGGCAATTAAACTAGAGTTCTCAAAAGTTCTGGCAAATAACAGAGAAAGATGATAAATATGACAAACAGATGTCTAAGCTGTGTGTATGTATATGTGTTTAAGCAATTCATGTTGAAATTTCTACTGGAAGTGTTCAATATTAAGTTTGAATTGGGAAGAGAAATACTATTTCAGATTAACAGCTTTGCTAGTTTCAGATATATATAAAAAAGCAAAGTAAATTTCTGTAATTGTGACCCACGTCTTGCACAGACATCTCATGATGTTCAATGATATAATGATATTAGGAAGAAATTCTTCAGTACGAGAGTGGTAAGACTTTGGAATAAATTGCCCAGAGAAGTTGTGGATGGCCCCTCTCTGGAGGTGTTCAAGGCCAGGTTGGACGGAGCCTTGAGTAGCCTGATCTAGTTGAGAGGCGTCCCTGCCCATGACAGGGAGGTTAGATTAGATGATCTCTGAGGTCCCTTCCAGCCTATGCCATTCTATGATATCAAGATTCTTAAATGAAATAATGTGAAAAGTCTTTATTGAACCACTGTTGACTGTAAACAGCCAACAAAAGTAATTCAAAAAAATTGTCTTGTTAAATTGTCTGCACTGGTCAAACAGCAAATACCAGTTCACTGTCACCTAGACATTCCAGTAACCTCTGAATGGGTTTAGTTGCATTAAAATTATTTGCATTAAAATTATTATGGTGTATATACAATAAGACATATTGTATATACACTATACCTCAGCTGTTCTATGTGGAAACCAGGAAGATTTTTGCTCAGACACCTTACAGTTGCCTTTTTTAGGAGTGATGTCGGCTGCATACCCTTTCACCTCTGTTCTAATCATGTCTGGCTGGCACAGGAGTGCATCATAGGAGTGCCTCTTCACTCCAGCTATTTCTAGCTGCCAATACAACTACTTTTGGTTATTTTGAGGAGCAGAATAATCTACACTTTTTTCTAAATTATGTCAGTGATCAAATAAGAACAGTCTATGACAAGGCACAATGCTTTGAATCACAAGAGGCCATCTTGATCCAAATCTAGTGTGAGATGCCTCTGCTATGTTATGATATAAAGGCACACTAGTTCAGAATCTGGCCTTTTGCTTCTAAACTCTGCATATTTATAAATTGTTATGTGCTTATAGTGAAGCACCTGATGGCAATTACCTATAATAAAGTTTACATTTCTACTTTGGGTGACTTTCATGCCTGTTAAGATTTTGACTATTAATAATGTTTTGTACACTAGATACATTACATACGTGCAGTTCAGTGATTCTATAAAACAGTTAAATATTTGATCTTTAAAATATTAAATATTAATATTTTTTATATTAACTAAGTACCATATTATTTCAGCTTTTATGAGATTCTTTCATCTTTCAAAGAAAATGTTCTGCGTCTTTATTAAAAGACTTGTCCTTTAACAGTCCTATGAGTGGTTGCTTAATCCAGATTTAACTGTAGTTTAATTTTATCATCATAATGTCAACAAATTATTATAGAATATATCATTTAAGTGACTGTAACCACAGAGTGACTAATGTACTACATATGGATGAACACAGAATCGAATACCAACCAAAATAAATTTTAAGGTATGTTTGCTTGTATTTACTGTGGTAAGTAGTGTTATTTCGGCATCCTGCTAATAACGTTATAATAAATTTTTGGAAGAAAATTAGATACAAAAGCAAATCAGAATATTGTTTAGCGTTATGCCATCAGAGTTGAAATTTTCAGGATTACGGGTCTATTTTCCGATCTTTGTTTATTTGTAAAGAAACGTAAATGTGCTTTTTTGTCCACTTCAAAAAGGAATTTTCACATAGAAAGGAAACAAATGTCTAAGTACTTTTATAGAGGAAACATTTTTCAGGGCCGTTTATTTTAGTGGTCCCTTTGCTTTTATAGCAGATATACTCATTTAAAACCCAGTTTCTTCCTCTGCTACATTGTTCAGTGAAACCATAGAAAGATAAAAAATTGAACTGTTTAGCAATGCTTTCTTGGCATTTTGCTAATTGGCAAATATATGTTCTCAGCAAGGTGAAAATAAAAGGGTTTATGCTTGTATGGTGATTACACGACCATAATTCTTCCAGTATGAGAATTTAAGAGCATCGTTCTTGTATGTAGGGTTCTTTTCATTTGAGTTAATCTAGTGTAACTGAGAGAAAGCAGTAATCAGTGATGAACAATGTAGTTTGGAAATTTGTTTGTTTAGTCCGTGCTGGTTTTTAGTTTGATTTTCTACATGTTGAATGGACAGAGGACTACACTTTCAGATATTTTGAGCTGTTCTATTGGGTCTAAGACAACTGGTCTTTCTGATCTTCAAGCAAAAGTCAAAACTCTTGTTTAGAAAATGAACCGTAGAGTGAGGCTAGTTTAGCTTGAAAAGAGAAGACAGGAAAACTGAAAAGAGAATGAAAGTAAACTTCAAATTGAAAAGGAAGCTTTCAAAAAATAGAAATGAAAGATAAATCAGCCTAGAGGTTGTTTTTTTTAAGTGTGGTGGAAAAATCTGAGCTCAGTGTTTGGGTTCTATCTCTTGATTTTTATAAACTGATTGGAGCTGGGTCATTTATATTTAGCCCCTCTTGGGAGGAAGTACCTCATGTTGGTAAATAGTCAGTACTCTGTTTGACTAGAAGAAAGATTCATGTTTTTTTTTTAATTAATTCCAATATAGGAAAAAATTCCTTGTGCTTTCTGAAATGACAGGAAAGTAATGTTAAAATGCCTTAAAAGTGTTAAGAGTTTGGAGGGATTTAAAAGCTTATTTTGAAGCTTCTACTTAACTCATCATTACTATGTGGACATGTATATGTAATTCTGTAGTTCATGATCATGCTGGTTTATTTTGCTGCATTAAGACTTATGAATTTGTCCTTTGAATGATGATTTTCTTACAGTTGATTTGGAGCTGAGTATGTGAAATAAGCTGTATTAAAATTAGCAGATCTTAAAAAACTTGTAGCATCTCAGCCTAACCATAGCTTTGGTCAAGAAGTATTATTTTGTAAAACATAATTGTTTAATGAGTTTTCATAAAAGTGTTATGAATAAAATCCTTGGTTATTTTAGACAGAGTTCATGTCTTTAATTATTTTTTCTGCTTCAAATGATTTTAGGATTACATACAAAGCTGATTTTATAATTAGTTTAAAAATTTCCTGGCAAACCTATGTATAGTGAACACAAATGAGATGTTTTTAAATTTCTCTTGTATTTACTATTAAAGAGGTAGACTGATTTTATACAATTGAATTTTTACTTTTGAGGTTAGACTATGAAGGTGTACTTAGTTTTCTTTATCTTCAGCTCATCTGCTTTGGGTTTAGCATATCTTTTTGAAAAAAGGCATGTTTGTAAAGGCAATTAAGTTTTGTTTGACCTTCCTTCCAGTTTAAGGTATTCACTGGACCCTAATGTGAACTTACAATCCCCAAGCCTGATTGATATGTAAACATAACACAGATGGTGTAGAGATGATTCTGATGATAATTCATTTTTCAGCTAGTCACGAAGATTCTTTGATTACAGCGTGTTTAAGTAATTATAACATAGTGTTCAGTGTTAGTCTTGTTGGTAAGGAACACATGGGAAACAAGTTACACGTTATTCATGCCCAACAAAGGATGCACTGTGGTGTGACCATTTTAATTTCTAATGCTAGATTAGAAACATAGTATTTTAAAATATGTCATAGAGTAAGGTAAATATATTAAGCATAGACTGAATAAAATATTAAGTACATAGTTTTGGGCATAAATATTTGTTTTGGAAAGTATTTGTTACTATATGAAAGAAGCCAGTATGCTTGAATTCAGATTTCACTTTGCATGCAGATCATTAAAAAGTCACATGCTTGTTTTCATGTTTATATGAGTTCAGGTTATAACGTAGTTTACTTTACTTTATCTTCTGTAAGCATTTTGAATGACAGTGCTGAGAAAAAAGTAAATAACATTAGTGAGATGTAGTTAGAAATCATATTCTGTCTTTACACCATTTGTTCACACCCATCTGCTATAGTAAGCAAAGTTTACTGAGTATGTTGTTGGCAATTAACTGACAATAAAGCACAACCACTTACATAAATCAGAACGGTATATTAAAGAAAATCATATCAATATTTTTTTCTAGCAGTGTCCCAAACAAACTGGTATAATTTAAAATTTCACCTTGTCTACTAAATTAATTTTATCTTTTTTTTGGTGTCTTTCTGCAATAGGATAATTGACCATCTAGATGGAGTTCGTTTGTTATGGTCATTGTTGAAAAATCCTAATCCAGATGTTCAAGCAAGTGCAGCTTGGGCTATTTGTCCTTGCGTTGAAAGTGCTAAGGTAAGAAAGTGTTTAAAGTAGTAGTTTTGTTATATATATTACTCACATATAATTTTTATATTTGGTTGATTTCCAGCAATACTTTGCTGTTTGCTTCTTACACTATTCTGATAACTGCTTAAAAAAATTGATGTGAAAATAGTGAATAGTCCTCCATTTGGCGCTCATTATAACGCTCTGTTTTGCCTTTACAGTGCTTACTGTATTTGGAAAATTTATTTTTATAACTTATCAGGACCTAAACTTACCATTCCCAAATAAAGCGTACTGAAAATATCACAATGCTGAAAACAGAAAGCTTCTACTCACAAGCTATGAATAGCACAGGTAGTTGTAGTTGTTCTCCACTATGAAGTACTTCAGCTATGTTCTCAAGAGACCATCATTTGGTTTCAGAGCATATTTCAGACTTGGTGCCAATGTAATCCTTAGATTTTCTGCTCAGACTGCCAATAAGAAGTGGCAGTTGTGAACAGTGGTTGTTGTGCAAGTCAGTTGTGCACAGAAGACTGCGCTGTTCATTTATTTCATGTCAGTTTCCAAATAGAGATAATATGTTGAATATAAGCTCTAAGACATCTTCAGTGAATACTTACCACTGACCTGTGGTAAAATAAATGGGGAAGGTTATGTTTCCCATTAGAAATTTCCTAGAATACTAAGTAGACTTTTAGCTTTTAATCCTTGTACAGTAATATCTTCCTTTTCTGATTTACCTCCATATTTAATGCAACTTTTGCATCTTTTCTCTATGTCGTGGTTTTAGGCTGATCTAGCAAC